ATTAAAAAGTATCGTATACTTCTGACTTCGGAAAGTATCGGATCTTTTGTATCGGATAGATACTTTTTGCCCACCACTAGCGGGTAGCTTTGGCGTTGCAAATGCAAACTTAACCTAATCTTTAAACATTAAAGTGTTTTTAACCATCTGTTTTTGCCAAAACAAATAGTAGAATTTTTGAAAACATGTTTCAAAAAGCTGGGCAGATCGTTCACAAAGAAAATGCAGTGCAAGCGATTGTTGTTGCAGATACCTTTGATGATGAATTTTTGCCCATTTCTGAAGAGATGCCCCATGTAAAATCTACCTTAGGATATGTATGATGTAATATCAAAGGGTTTCTTCTTTTAGGCTCTTCTACCTGTTCTTAATAGGCCCTTAATAGACTACACACTGGAATTTCTTTCTCTTGGAGGCATAGAAGAGACATTTCTGTTTTGCTGTACGCATGTCGATGCTGTTAAAAGACATATCAAGTATGGGTTTTCGCTACATCTTGGGAGCCCCAAATCAATGAGCTCTCTTATTAGATAAAAAATTGTATAACACTCTCAAACTCGCAGCAGACATTTCAATTATTACTTGTTCGATTCTATTTTGGTACACAATGAGAAGACATTATTTATTTTATTTCATTTGTAATTTTAGCAAGTGTATCAAAAATGGAGAAGGCTGGACCTTAACAATGAAGGTAAATGTAATAGTTTCTGAATCATGTAGATCTTTCGGAGACTGCTTGAGGGACTTGGATGCAAAGGGGCTTTTGCGTGGAGAATTTGTGTTGTTAGAACCTGGAACTGTGTCAAATGTTCAACTACTGCCTCTGTTAAGGAAGCATAAGTATGGTTTTGTCTGATTTTATTCATTAACCCTTCTTACGAGACTATTTTCAGTAATATTACTAAAAATGATAAGGGTGCTGCTATGACCTTGATTCTTCAAGAAAGTGGAATAGGTGGTATTGGTAGATGCCCCCATGAAGAACTTTTAGTTGCCGCAAATTCTAATAACAGAGTGCTGTTTCACAAGAAACTTGGGAAAACTAAAGATAGAAAAATTGCTTTTCCTTTGGTAAGATTTCATTTTATTGCTGGGTTGCACAATCTGTGTCTAGTTGACACAGAATGCTGTTGATATGAAATAAATCCTCATATTTCTCAACTTTACTTCTTCCTGATTGATTCTACCTGGTATCAACTGTGGATCTTCCTTGGAGGGAACCATCAATTATGTTTTTTATCCACAGACGTCTACAGTATTGGCAGATAGTCGGGGTCCATTATTTGATGTGTATGAGCGAGATAGAGAGAGAAACAAGTATGTTCGAAGAAGAGTGAGAATGAAGCATAAACAAACTCGTCCCTGCTGTCAAGCACACTTCATTTGCACTGTCACTGTCACATATGTATTTCTCTCTCTTTTTATCTTGTAGATATTAAATGTGGACCTCTACGACCACAATACTTTGAGATACCGTATATCATCTATGAGTATCCAGCTTTGATAGTCTTTTTGAATATAGATTGACTTTATTTTTAGGAAATTTTCTTGGAAAACCCCTCAGTATCCCTTCTGCACAACTTAAAAGACACCCACATAGCGATTTGTTCAGCATCAGTGCTGCCGCTTTTCTCTGACAATTTTGATTTTCAAACTAAGGACGACTTTGTAAGAGGGTTGCTAATGAACGAGGAAATATTAGGAAGTACTGTTTATTGCCATATTTTGAAGGGGAACCAATATGGTGGGTCGATAACTAACTGGAGGATGTACCAAGCAATAAGGTAATTACTAAGTGCCATCTTAGTGAAAACCCTGTCAAAATTATAATGATGATTTATGTTCATAAGTGTATATCATAAAGGAATCTACCTTCATTTTAAAATATATTAGGCGCCCGATTTCTACAATAAAGTACCTCAAGCTTTAAAAATTCTATTTGTGTCCAGCTTTAAAAGAAAAGTTAGGCTCTTTGTCTTTGATGACATGTAGCATGTATTTTTATGTAATTTTATTTTTATATTTGTTTATTTGTGCATGTTTTCTCATTTGTCATTTGTTTGTGTTTTGGTTACGAATCTATCGCTGTTTACTTTTAATTTTAATATCTTCTGCCATATACCGAATTTTTTTTTACTTCTAAGCATGGTTTTTCATTCTGCTATGTACTCGGTTGATGCACGTGTCTCGTTTGGCCTTTTGGTCATTATACCATGCATAGGCTACAATTCTGTAAAAAAAAAATTTCTGCTTCAAATTTTCTCATCTTCTGTGTATTTGCATTTACTTGAATTTTTTTCAGCCCTGGTTGGTTCTGAAAAACAGCTTGTGCTGATGTAACCTGCCAGGTAAAATAAAGGACTTTTATTATTATTATTATTATTAACGGGTGATTTTTCAAGAGGTATAGGATTTTCAAAAAAAACACAAACAATTTGAAAAAACTATTAAATCTATTTGAGTCGATAGAACGGTCGATATAATTTAATGTTTAAAGATTATTTCATGTAAATGTTGGCCGCGGCTCCGCTTTAGATGGCCCATGCGCAAGGTCCAATTTTGGCACACTCTCTCCAACATATCGGCCGGTATCTCACGAATAAATGCCTCAATATTGGCTTCCAGTGCGTCAATCGTTGCTGGTTTATCCCTGTAGACATTAGCCTTAACATGGCCCCACAAGAAATAGTCCAACGGCGTTAAATCACACGATCTAGGCGGCCAATTGACGGGCCCCAAACCTGAGATAAACTGTTCACTGAACTCGCCTCTCAATAGGGCCATTGTTTCGTATGCGGTGTGGCATGTGGCACCGTCTTGTTGAAACCACATGTCAGCCAAGTCCAGCTCTTCCATTTTGGGCAAAAAAAGTTTGTTATCATCGTACGGTAGCGCTGGCCATTCACAGTTACGTTCCGGCCATTGTCGTCTTTGAAGAAGTACGGCCCGATGCCACCGGCCCATAATCCACACCAAACAGTGATTTTTTCGGGATGCATTGGTAACTCTTGCAATGCTTCTGGCTGGCCTTCACTCCTGATGCGGCAATTTTGCTTGTTAACGTACCCATTCAACCAGAAATGAGCTTCGTCGCTGAACACAATTATTCGATAAAAATGTGGTTCTTCCTCCAACTTTGCCAGCGTCCATTCACCAAATTGGAAACGTTGTGGGAGGTCGTGTGGCTTCAATTCTTGCACCAGCTGTATCTTATAAGGTTTTACACCTAAATCCTGTCGCGAAATTTTCCACGTAGTGGAGTAACAGAGGCCCAATTGCTGCGAACGGCGGCGAATCGACATTTCACGGTCATCACTAACACTGGCGGATACAGCCGCAATATTTTCTTCAGTCCTCACTCTACGTCTGCGTGTTGGTGGTTTTATGTCCAATAATGTAAAGTGGGTTCGAAATTTAGTCACAAGCTTCCGAATAGCTCCCTCAGTAGGCCGACCAAATTGCCCATAAATTGGAAGCAGTGCTCGATGCACTCTCTTAACCGAGCATGAATTTTGATAGTAAAATTCAATAATTTGCAATCGTTGTTCGTTCGTAAGTCGATTCATGGTTAAATTATAGACCAAACTGAACAAGTTTCACAATGACACAAGACACGATTCACGCGTCATCTGTCAAAAACAGTGTTGCCAAAAGGATACTAGCAAAAAAATCACCCTATATTATTATATTTTTCCAGCTATGAATTGAGAAATAAATGGATTCATCCTCTTATATCTTCTACAAAAAGGTAAGTTATTTTTATAAACTAACTAAATTCACATACAACTTCAACCATTACAGTCCATTTTCCCTTGAGGATTTTTTTTATAAAGGATTCGTATTTTGTGTTTATCAATGTCGAAAAGTATAATTCGTCGTGAAGTCTTAAGTGTCGTATCGCCAGTCGTTCGTACAATATTTTAGAACGCGTTCATGGCCTCCTCGATTTTCAAAGTTTTCAACTGTTCCGAGTCAGTGCTCTATTTTGAGGTTATGCTACAAATATCTATTTGCATCACATTGTTCATGCTTTTGATTTATATCATCTGTTTTATCAGACTGAAATTTCCTACGATTCTTAATAGTTACACAATAGAAGAGCGCTGACGCTGACACGGAACGATAGGAATCTAGAAATAGCCCAGCCTTTCTGAAGGAGAGAAAAGGCTATGAAAATCAAGGAGGCCATAAAGGCGACCACAATTGAAAGAACGCCTGACGATACGGCAATTAGAGGTGGTAACTGTGGTCATTTATGACCAAGACACGTCATTTGGAGGTCAACTTTGAAATTCAAGTAGCAGTCACCATTTTTGACAACGTATTCGTGTCGATCTCGAGATCTTCATTCAAATAAATAAGGTCAAACAGTCATGAGAGTGGCTATATAAAAGCTTGGTCAGGTATAGAAAAACGAAAGATAGTGAACAAATAAGTTCTGCGGTTTGAAAAGTCAACACAAAATATTCTGATGACAGTTATTTATTTTCATTGATTTTTAGGAATCGCAAATTGAAAAACGACGTCTACGTTGGCGACGGTACCAAAATTTCTGAATCGGCCGGGTTAAAAAATGCAGTCCTAGGCACTGACGTAATTTTAGGCAAAAACGTAAAAATAGAAAATTCGTTTGTGTTCTCCAATACGAAGATTGAAGATGACGTGGTGATAACGCATAGTATAATAGGCGAACATTGTACAGTTAAAAGTAAAAGTAAAATTACAGCGGGTAGCATATTGGGCAATGGATGTGTTGTCGAGAACGATACTTTTGTGGAGAATAGTTTGGTGGTTGCTAAGAAGCCAGAAAATTGTAAGTAAGATTTTTTGATTTCTTGTATTTCTCGATAGTGGGTTTTTTTCAAAAATATTTATTTCGATGGTATATTTTGTCGCCAAGTAGTGTAACTTGAGTATGATAATTGGTAAAGCTCGCGAATTTTGCGTCAAGGACGTTAGGCTTTCATCAGAAGGAAAGAAGATAACCTTGTTGATGTGGCAACAGTGATTCTAAAGACCTCTCACATGGCCAAAACTAGAAAGATTCGCTCAATTTGCCCAAAAACTTCATGACCTATATATATATATATATACAGGGTGTCCGCAAAGTTGGGGTTTTCCTTTTCAGAAACAACTACCCTTGAAATAACAAAGGTAATGTGTAGTGAAACGAGGGCGACCAAGTAAAAAAAATAAAGGAAAAAGTACTCACTCTCCAGTTGACGAGAAGGGCTAAGTACGTCTCTGCCCGAAATCATACCGCTCCAACAGAAAATGAAATCAGCTGATGCGCTACCGAGCAGACGCACCATGCCAGCCCAAACATTCACCGAAAATGTGCCCGACGGATAGCGTGCGGATTTTCTACTGACCAAACATGAGTGTTGCGAAAGTTATTCACCCCATTACGCGTGAATGTAGATACGTCTGTCACCAATATGCACTTCAAAAAGTCCGGATTATTGTCATGTTGATGCAACAACCACTCACAAAACCGCACTCTTGCTGGAAAATCGTCAGGTTGAAGGGCTTGTACACGTTGGACGTGAAACGGATACAGCCCCTCTTCACGCAGCGTTTGCCACACTTTAGTTTTTGATACTTGCACTTCTCTAGCCACGTCTCTAGTGCTTGTTGAGGGATTCTCGTCTACGCGATTAGCTCTACAGGCGTGACCGTAACCGTCGGTTGAAGGTTGCATACTGACCTGACACACTGACCCCGACCCCCGACCCAGTTCTGTCGTTGAGCCTGTGACATTGTACCACTTCGTGATGTCGCGGCTACAGGACGGTATTCAGATATTTTTGATGTTGCAGAGCCCTTTATCTCGGTTCCCTTAAGACATTGGTGTATATGGTACTAAGAAAAATTGCTTATGTTTTCAAGATCTACACGTCGTGTAAAGGAAAACCCCAACTTTGCGGACACCCTGTATATATATCCTTTGCAAAAAAAATGTTTGGTATAGAGTCAAATTCAAATCTCACGTTTTTGAGGTCGCTCTGGTAACGATTTAGATATCGATTTTTTCGAAATCAAAATGTTTGCAAAAAAATCTTCTCGAATTTGAGTTTTGTATGTTTTAAGGGTCGCTGAAATTAGTATCGATTATTTTGTTTAATTTTTTTGTTTTCATATATTTCTCAACAGATACAAGATCACAGAGAACACTATTCAAGTGATGAAAAACAAATAAGACACCCTAACCCTCCTAAAATACAAAAAGATGCATACTAAAAGGTACTGAAAAGCTAGCAAAGGCTTACGTCACTGATCAGTTTTTATATATGACGATATTCTTCTTTTATATATATGTTCATGTTCACTCATATCAAAGCTAACCTATTATATTTGTTAAAGCTTTTGGTAGATAAACAGTGTAGTTCCTACTATTCCAACTAGGCGCAGTAAGTTTAAGTTGGAAAAAATTTCACCACACTCAATCTGATTGCTTAGCATCTTGTGCACAAAGCAGCAGCTTATCAAAAGATTGTAATTTCTAATGAGGAATCCAAGCATACGTCAAGCTGATTTAACTATTTGATTTAAGTGTGTTCAGAATTAAAGCAAAAGTAATGCATAAGTCTTTTGCTTCGTATACTCTATCAGGTTTGTCGATTATCCAGTATAACATCATATCTTGTGATAGATCGTTTTTTGTGCTTGAAATGATTTAATCTCGCTCAATTTTGATTTTTATATATTTTTAAGGTATTTTGCCAATCACTGTATAATATCACAGTTATCAAAGTGGCAGTCAGCTGCATTATTTTGAGGTGCCACCAGGAGGATTTTTCAAAGTGTTGATATATTTTTATTATATGAAAAACAGTCCATTAAGTCAAAATAATCGCATTTTGTTGCTTTTTTAAGATGAAGAAGGAGATAGATTAGGAGAAAGAGCATATAGACTCCGAATCACTGTGGATGATGAGGAGGACCTATCAATAATAGGCTTAGGTCGTAGATTGTCGAGATTGCACATTGGAGATCTCACTTATGAATCGGATGAAAGCGAGTGTGCTTTCAGTGTCAGTGACGATGAGGAATTGTCTTATACGCAGACACCTCCTCCTGATGACACAAAACGTAAGTTTTTCAACCCAAAAACGAACTGTCGGTGTTTTTTAATTTAGATAACAATCATCCCGAAGGTTTGGCTTATACATGGAATTTCTGTATGATTCAGTTTTCTACACCGAGGTTATAGACAGTCTAACGAGAGGATTTGAAGATAAACTTCCTTGTGATAATCTGATACTTGAGATAAATTCTTCACGTTATGCCTACAATGTCACACTTAAAGAGGTAATTGATGTGAAGGATTATATTATGCTTTGCTGGAACTTTTTGCCTGCCTTAGCAATTCTCATAATGAACATTTTTATTCTGATGCCAAGGACGTAATCAATGCATGCTTTAAGTCATTTTGTTTAGAAGCTGATCTGAATACCGTTCAATTTCAGGTAAATTTCAACGTCGTTAAGGCCATTCTGACAATGTCTCTGAGACAACCAGAAGGTGGTCAGTATTTTGCTAATGTATCTCGATTATTGACATATTTTACTACAGTGTTGAAAAATTATATCAGGAACGAAAGCGCTATGAAGGATTGTTTGGAGGCGATACAGGTAACTATAGTCCTGATTTTCGTTTTAGATTTTTTGAACAATAAGTTTCTGACAGTTCTTAATGGTTATTTACAGGGCACCAGCTCAGTGTGTCATTGTCGTCTTGATATTATTTTGTTTGGATGACTGTATTTGATAGTCTCTGATTGTTAGAAACTCTTTGTAGATACTAAGTCTTTACATTTATCCAAACCGCAAACGTTTCTGTACGATTTTCGGATGAACGCATCCGCAACGGCGAGTACTTTCAGGATTGATTGTTGAGAGTCAAATTCAAGCCTGCTCACGCTTCTGTTCCTTTGTTCTTTCAAGCTGTTTGATGCCCCATCTGGCGGCATTCAAGTGAAAAAAACCGTATCGGTAAACTATCTCGGATCGCTTTCTAATTACACCACGCCGTCTCGTAGGCACACACCACGGTACCACTGTGTGAGGACAGAAAGCTGTATACGATTTTTCACAGCACGGTGTACGTTTAGTAGACTAGATATTTTTTTGTTTTGATTGTACATATTTTCACTACCACATTGATCTGCGCTTTTAGGATGTTGCTATGTGTAGTGAGTCCCTGCCAGATAAATGGGTGACGTTCGTCCTTCAGTATTTCTACAATAAGGACTATATCTCCGAAGACTCGATTTTGAACTGGTTCTCTACCCTTATCGGTGGCAGCAAGTTTCATAGGCAAGTGAAACCTTTCACTGATTGGCTGAAAGAAGCAGAGGAAGAGTCTGAAGATGAAAGCGAGTGATTTAATTGAAATTTTATGAGTTCTTGTTATTGAAAGTACAGTACAGTCTTTGATATTTTTAATACAGAACGTTGTCGTCGTTTTGGTGTTTTATTTTACCGTACAACCTTGAAAATTCCATTTTTATGTTTCGTTATCACAAGCGGTTTTAGCTGGGACACTTAGGTAATTTTGGACGCAGAATTTGAATATGAGCGTGAAAAAATTCGTTTGGCCGAATTTGGGGTACAAATTGAGCCGTGGATCTTAGCGACAAATTGACATCCGATTTGGAATGTACAAAATTGATTTACTCTGGAAACAGGTATTCGATCAGAACACCGAATTTTTTTCATGGGAAACTTTGAAATAGACTGCCTTGGATCAAATTTTCATTTACGAGGTATGTAAATTAAGTGACGAGACTGGTTTTTATTTATTTTTTATTCAATTCTACATTGTCACTTTAAAAATAATTTCCTTTTGAAGCCACAGAGTGCTGGAGACGGGTCTTTCACTCCTCATTATAGTGCTACAACTCCGATACTGGAATAGCCTTCAGCTGGTTAGCTACAGCCGTTTGAATGTTTTCGACTGTCCCAAAATTAGTGGCATTGAGGTGATTTTTCAACTTCGGGAAGAGAAAAAAGTTACAAGGACTCAAGTCAGGCGGACAAGGAGGCTGAGGAGCCTCGGGAACGTTTTTACTGGTCAAAAAGTCATTCATTGACACTGCTGAGTGACAAGGAGCAATGTCGTGATCGTAAACCCAGTTGTTCTTGATCTGACGTACGATGGTGTGAGTAAAATTTAACTCTTTCCCGATCATTCCGCCTGTCAACTGACGATCTGAACGCTCAAGATCCCGGATTCTGTCCATATTTTCATCGGTTCTTCTGAAAATGCCTCAAAACCACCGAAAAACCGAGGCTCTTAACAAAACTCTATTGCTCGAAATTGACACTGAAAAAATTACCACGGACAACCAAATGACTCGACCGAGTTCAAACTTGTACTGAAAGTGGATCACATGTTTCCTTGTCTCCTCTCCAAGCTCGGCGCCTCCAGTGTTGCCATATTCAACGCTACGTTGCCAGTTTCATCACTTACTTTGCAGACCTCGACATTTTCATGGACAACATTTTTATTTCTGTTACTGATTGCCGAAGGCAAAAGAAACTTTTGACAATTTAAGGCGCTGGATCCGAAAATATGAACATGAAAAATTCTGAAGTTCTGATAGAAGCAAAAAATGAGTGCTTGCTTTCCGTTGTACGAGTATTCCATATTTTGATAAAAGCAGTCAGCGTTTTGAGCTACTTAGTTTATACCATTTTAAACCCTAAAAGCAAATACCGGTTTTACATCACGGATTCATTCCGACGGATTTTTTCAAGGTCATCCTGATTATGTTTTGCGCTGTTTACATCAATGGGCAAATTGATGGATTATCTGTCAGTACTCGGTGCTGCCAACCACACGTGCCACACACAAAAATCTTGCTAGAAACATTTTTAACTTTTTTGTCTATTGTGGTTTGATTTTGAGACAAATCTCATAAAGATCCCATATGTTGAATACTGTAGTTGTTTAAAAATTCTATACTTCAGTTGCAAACTTTTTCAATATAATGGAAAGCAGAACAAGGTTGGTGCCATGGGATTTGACGTCCAACTTGACAAAAGTAAACAAATCCACGAATAACTTCATAGATTTACACTTTTGAAATTTGGCTACGAACTCAAGTCATGAAAAAATCTGAGGATATATTCTCAATGTAAAACGGGAGTTAAGGCCTACAACGTATGTATGTTTCAACAGTTTAACTCTTACCTGAGCAATAAAATTTCGATAAAACCCCGGTCGAGGCGGAGTCAAGGTCATGAGGCGAGCCAATGTCATAGTTTCGGAGCCTACGTCATCATTGCTAAGATCATGTTACTGAACGCACATACCGTTCATACTCTCACATATACGGGGGTTGTTTCAAAAATATGGTTCCCAAATTTGTTTCAGGCACAAGGAATTTTTTATTCGAAAAAACGGATTCACCATTGGAAACGTTGATCCTTAAACCGCCACCAGCCCGTTTAGAAACGTGGCAACTGCTACTTGCAACTCCTGGTCCGTCTCGAACCGTTGAGCGCTTCGCCACAGGAATTTTAACCGCCTGTTCCCGGATCGGTGATTCGCCGATCTTTATTCTAATCTCTGAATTTGTACTAAAGTTATCATCTTTCAATATTTAATCGTCTCTAGCTATCGGTCAATGCCCAACACAAGCTTATCTTTGTGGGGTTTGCCGCGTTTATTGTACAAATGTATTATTGGAATGTATACCTTTCAAATTATTTGTTTTTGTACAATAAATCACTACTAGTATCGTCTGCTTTGGAGTAGCTGCATGAGAAACATGGCTCACTATATGCAATATATCTAAGGAAGTCTCTGCCTACATCCAGTGTAGCGTCCGGACTCCGGACTTGGGGTTGAGTATGCAGATGGGTACATATTCACGATCCAGCTGTTCTCGTCAGCAACGTTAGCGCGAGATTCGACGCAATTTCGGGCAAACATCAATTCCGCCGAAATACGCTGTACTTAATCACTGTTAAGTAAACAGTCAGTTTATATCGATTCTGCTGACTCCGTCGACGCCGACGGTTTACCAACAAATATATTATATCCCCGTAGTTACTTGTTACACGACGTTGTTTCGACTCAATCAGGGCACAGCATACTTATTTATGTGTCTAGGGCATTTATTAAAACCTTTAAAATGTCAAAAAACCTATAAGATGTCATCTTGCAAACTAGGTAGTTTTTAGGGCGCAAACAGTCATTCCACGTTTGCTCACTAGGATCGTTGTTAACCTCCATCTACAGAGGAATCACTCAACTAAACTACACGCATTGTTGGTTGCATATGTTTTGTGAGGCCAAATGATCCTTGTCTGTCGTCTGAGTAGGAAGTTGGTTGAATAGCAAGATAGCATCTGAATGATTATGTGTATTGGTCTGCATGTGTATAAAATCAGTGATATTTGCTGTATGAGAAAATCATTACTGAATATGCTTCCACTGAAGTATTTCTATTGGCTGTGCCCGATCGGTTATTCTTATGTTGTGCTTCCTGAAGAGAGGTTATGTTCAAAGTTATAAATTACGAAAAACAGGAGAATTACGGGAAGTCATCACTGCGCCCGCGTTGTGTGTAATTACTGTTAGCGTGTATACAGGGTTTGTAAGAATAAATGGTACTAAGTTGCTAAACATCAGCCTTTTTATTCATACAGTGATCAGTCATGAACTTTAAGTGATCTTGATGTTTCGCGTATGTAAACTAAATTGCAGTTGTTACAATTAATGCAATAGACAGTGTTGGTCAAGTCAAGAAACAGAACCCTATATATACAGGCTGTCCGCAAAGTTGGTGTTTTCCTTTTCAGAAACAACTACCCTTGAAATAACAAAGGTAATGTGTAGTGAAACGAGGGCGACCAAGTAAAAAAAAATAAAGGAAAAAGTACTCACTCTCCAGTTGACGAGAAGGGCTAAGTACGTCTCTGCCCGAAATCATACCGCTCCAACAGAAAATGAAATCAGCTGATGCGCTACCGAGCAGACGCAGGCAAACAAGGAAGGCAAAATGTTGCGTAAAAAGTCTAGGTATTGCATCCCGTCCAATCGATTTGGGAGAAAAAATGGTCCAATGAGCATACCGTTCACCATGCCAGCCCAAACATTCACCGAAAATGTTTGTTGAAAATGTGCCCGACGGACACCGTGCGGATTTTCTACTGACCAAACATGAGTATTGCGAAAGTTATTCACCCCATTACGCGTGAACGTAGATTCGTCTGTCACCAATATGCACTTCAAAAAGTCCGGATTATTGTCATGTTGATGCAACAACCACTCACAAAACCGCACTCTTGCTGTAAAATCGTCAGGTTGAAGGACTTGTACACGTTGGACGTGAAACGGATACAGCCCCTCTTCACGCAGCGTTTGCCACACTTTAGTTTTTGATACTTGCACTTCTCTAGCCACGTCTCTAGTGCTTGTTGAGGGATTCTCGTCTACGCGATTACCTCTACACGCCTGACCGTAACCGTCGGTTGAAGGTTGCATACTGACCTGACACACTGACACCGACCCAGTTCTGTCGTCGGGTTGAGCTAGTGTCCTAGTACCACTCGGGGATGTCGCGGCTACAGGACGGTATTCAGATATTTTTGATGTTGCAGAGCCCTTTATCTCGGTTCCCTTAAGACATTGGTGTATATGGTACTAAGAAAAATTGCTTATGTTTTCAAGATCTACTCGTCGTGTAAAGGAAAACCCCAACTTTGCGGACACCCTGTATATATATACAGGGTGACTTTGAAGTTAAGTCATTAATTTTCAGATAATGATTGTAGAAGGAAGATAAACCAAAATATGTGTGTAAAAATAAAAAAAAAATTAAAAAAATTTTTTACCTTGTTTTGTAAAGTATCCTCCCGACAAGTGTTTCAGTGCGGACCTGTATTTGATCGTGAGGTCCTCTGTGAGGTCTTAAGTCACCTGATTCACGAGCCCGTTGTACTAAATTAACAAAGGCACGAGGGGTTGGTTGCACTCGATTGGGAAACCGATCCGCATAAACATGTGCCATTTTTTATTTCGTTTGAGCCACGCAACACACTATTCACTGACACTGACTGTATACAAATGAATAAAATAATTGTAAAAACATCGTTCCAAATTCTTTCGCTTTTTTGTTTCCGACGCGATGAACCGATACGGCGGATTATATCCGTTGTCGCCAAACACGAGCACATAATATTATTATTGAGACAGGGCGGTACTCAAACTTCCAAAGGGCTATAACTTTGTTACTTTAATTTTACCAGAAAAATGGTAAAGGAAAAAAACATTTCTTTTGATCAGATCTACTCACTATTAAAATAAATGACTCAACTTCGAAGTCACCCTGTATATATAAGTTATATATATATAACTTGAGACGTGGTCATTGTCGTCTAGACCAGTTAGGTGAAAAATAAAGCTTCCGCCTTTGGGAGCTGCAATAACATTAAGAAGGAATAGCAACTA